TCCTTCTAACAGTCAGGTCCCTCTTCTGCAGGTCTGCTGGAGTTTGCTGGAGGTCCACCCAGACCCTGTTTGCCTGGGTATCACCAGCGGAAGCTGCAGAACAGCAGAGATTGCTGCCTGCTCCTTCCTCTGGAAGCTTCGTCCTAAAGGGGCACCCACCAGATGCCAGCTGGAGCTCTCCCATATGAGGTGTCCATCAACCCCTACTGGGAGGTTTCTCCCAGTCAGGGGGCATGGGGTCAGGGACCCACCTGAGAAGACAGTCTGTCCCTTAGCAGAGCTTGAGCACTGTAGTGGGAGATCCACTGCTCTCTGCAGAGCCAGCAGGCAGGAATGTTTAAGTCTGCTGAAACTTCACCCACAGCTGCCCCTTCCCCCAGGTGCTCTGTCCTAGGGAGATGGGAGTTTTATCTATAAGCCCCTGACTGGGGCTACTGCCTTTCTTTCAGAGAGGCCCTGCCCAGAGAGGAGGAATCTAGAGAGGCAATCTGGCTACAGCAGCTTTGCAGTGCTGAGGTGGGTTCCGCCCAGTTCAAACTTCCCAGAGGCTTTGTTTACCCTATGAGGGGAAAACCATCTACTCAAGCCTCAGTAATGGTGGGTCCCCCTCCCCACAACCTGGAGCATCCCAGGTCAACCTCAAACTGTGCTAGCAGCAAGAATTTCAAGCCAGTGGGCCTTAGCTTGCTGGGTTCCATGGAAGTGGGATTTGCTGAGCAAAACCACTTGGCTCCCTGATTTCAGCTCCCTTTCCAGAGGAGTGTCTGGCTGGGGTTCCAGGCACCACTGGGGTACGAACAAAAAAACGTCCTGCAGCTGGTTCGGTGTCTGCCCAAATAGCCGCCCAGTTTTGTGCTTGAAACCTGGGGTCCTGGTGATGTAGCACCCGATGGAATTTCCTGTTCTGCAAGTTGCGAAAACCATGGGAAAAGCATAGTATCTGGGCCTGATAGCACTGTCCCTCACAGCACAGTCCCTCGTGACTTCCCTTGGCTGGGAGAGGGAGTTCCCTGACCCCTTGCACTTCCCAGGTGAGGCAATGCCTCACCCTACTTCTGCTCGCCCTCCATGGGCTGCACCCACTGTCTAACCAGTCCCAATGAGATTAACTGGATACCTCAGTTGGATTGCAGAAATCATCTGCCTTCTGTGTTGCTCTCCCTGGGAGCTGCAGACTGGAACTGTTCCTATTCAGCCATCTTGCCCTGGTCCTCCTCAGTACCATTTATTAAACAGGGAATCCTTTCCCCATTGCTTGTTTTTGTCAGATTTGTTGAAGATGGTTGTAGATATGCCGTCTTATTTCTGAGTTCTCTATCCTGGTCCATTGGTCTATGTGTCTGTTTTTGTACCAATACCATGTGCATGATATGTTTTAAATCATTGTCATGAAAGATTAGGAAATTAGCATTCACCTCTCAATTTAAGTACATTGTTTTATTACTTTTTTAACATTATAATTCTGTTCTGAGACAATAATTTCCACAGTCGGATCTTAATGTTTACTATCAATACTTTTACTAGGATTTATTTATTCTTTGTTTCATAACCCACATATTTTTTTGTGGTTGCTTTTTTCTTTTTTTCCCCAGCTTTACCAAAGTGTAATTGACAAAAAATGGTATACATTTACAGTGTAAATGTACAGTGTAAAGTGTACAGCATGATGTTTGGATATATGTACACATTGTGAAAAGATTACCCCAATCATGTTAATCTACCACCTCATATGGTTATCCTTTTTTTATTTGTTTGTGGTGAGAACATCTAAACTGCCTTAATTCGTAGCAATTTTCAAGTATATAATACATTATTATTAACTGTAGTCACCATGCTATATAGTAGATCTCCGAAGCATATTCATCCTTTAGAACCAAAACTCTGTACCCTTTGACCAATATCTTCCATCTCATTCCCCATCCCCAGCCCCGGCAACCACCATTCTTCTTTCTGCTTCTATGAGTTTGACTTTTTCACCTTCTGCATATAAGTGAAATCATGCAGTATTTGTCTTTCTGTGCTTGGCTTATTTCACTTACCATGATGTCCTCCAGTTTCATCCATGTTGTCATAAATGACAGGATCTCCTTCTTTGTTAAGGCTGAACCGTATTCCATTGTGTATAGAGATACTACATTTTCTTTATCCATTCACCCATTGATGGACCCTAAAGTTGATTCCATATCTATTGACTATTATGAATAATGCTGCAGTGAACATGGAAGTGCAGATTTCTCTTTGACATACTGACTTCATTTCCTTTAGATATGTATACACAGTAATGGGATTTCTAGATCACATGAGAGTATTTTTAATTTTCTGAGAAACCGCCCTACTGTTTTCCAAAATGACCATACTAATTTACATTCCCACCATCAGTGTACAAGGATTCCCTTTCTTCCACATCCTTACCAGAGATCATTTTCATTCCTTGTGAAGTCCTTTTTATCACAGGTATTCTGTATTGGGATGTGGCAGTACTACTTCCTTTCCCACTTTTATCCTGCTTCACCTCCAGCAGTGTTCCTTATGTAAAAGCTAGATAGTAGACAAGAAAAAATGTATAAATATGATTTCTCCATCAATTCTACCTTCTCTGTTACTAAGTCATGTAAAATAGGATCTCTGTGGAGATATTTTGTGCTTCTACTTCACCCTAACCAATACATACTTCTGCACTCAAGACTCTAAAATATCTTTGAAGAGGTCTTCCGGAACATAAACCTCTAGGGAAATCTTTATCCTTTCTGATGTCTGAGGAGGCGTCAGAATCTTCCTCTATATTGGTCCAACTTGCAGTTAGCAGACATTTTACATTGTGTGTGGTTTGGGACTCATAGACGTTTTCCTTTTTAATTGATGATGGCATTTTAAAAATCTATATTTTGTCCTCTTTGTTATTTTCTTGTTTGCAAGGAGAAGGTAGGGAGATAAGAATGCTTTTGCATTTGATTTTTTGTCAGAATCTCTTTTGGCATTAAATCATATTTTTAATTCCTGATATCAGATACTGTCAGAATATATGCACTATTTAATAGAATCTAGTAAGGCTTTTCTGAAAATATTGCTCATTATTATCTTATAACTTGTACTTTGTGTGGTATTTCTGTACAAAATATTTGCATGTTTTGATTTCAATATTGTTTCTAGCAGACAGTATAGTCTGACTAATAAATAACTTAATGAATAGAGTTGGGATGGTTTATAGTTTTTTTCCCTAAAATTAAGAACTTCAGGACTTTTCTTAAGAGTGTTCTAGTCAGACTTCCTTTTAAAAAAAAAAAAAAGTTAGCATCTTCACTCACTTATTTCAATGATTATATTAAACCTTTGCCAAGCCCTCAGTACTACCAGATTGCCCCCACTCCAACAACTGCCTGTGTCATTCTGAGAATATAGCTTTACCTTCTTTTTTGCAGAGTAAGAACCAATTTGTGGAAACCAGCTCAGCCTCCAACCCCAAAACACAAACTTACCTGAATCCTAACTCACCCTTAGCTTCTTATATTTATTTAGTGACTTTCAGTCTTGTCCAAGGTTGTTTATACCTCTTGCAATCTAGATGCTGTCAGTTCCCTCCTCTTCAGGGACCTCATTCCATCTACTGTTATTTTTCTCTCTTGTATTTGAAGTCTTCTTGTCTCCATTGGTTCACCGCTTTCTGTGTTACTTTGAGGAATTACTTAATCCTTCATAGTCTTGCTTTCAAAATTTTCTTATTTGTAAAATGAGGACATCAGGAAAATCTATTTTGCAGGATTGATGTAAAGACTAGAGATATGGTATACAAAGTTCTTTGTATAGTGCCTAGCACCTTGTAAGAGGCAATGTTATTGATAACTATGATACACACCCTCACCAATTCCCTAATTTTCTGCTACCCTTCAAAGCCAAGTTTCTTGAAAAAGTAGTCTACATTCAGAATTTCTACTACTTCACTATCCATTCACTCCTCACCTGCTGAAGTCTACTTCATTACCTTTCTGCCAAAGCTGCCTTGGACAAAGGTCCTCAATGGCTTCCTAACTGCCACAAACTTTCCTTCCTTTTTAGTCTTGACTTCTCAGAAACATCATACCTACTCCTTAAAACTCTTCCTACCCTTGATTTCCATGATACTACTCTCTTCTGGCAATCCTTTTACCTCCATTTGTTTTCCTTTAAAGGCAGATTTCATATTTGGTTCTCCATTCTTTCACCACATATACTCATTCTGTTGTTACCATCCATAGCCATATATCTAGCCCCAGTCTCACTCCTGAGTTTTAGACTGCACTATCCACTACAATAGCCACTAGCCACATGTGGCAATTGAGCACTTGAAATGTGGCAAAACGAAATTGAGATGTCCCCTAAGTGTAAAATACATACTGGGTTTTGAAGACACCATATGAAAAAAGAATGTAAAACATCTTGGTAATGTTTATATTGATTATACTTTTATATGATAATAGTTTAATATGTATTAGTTTAAATAAAATGCATCACTAAAAATTAATTTTACCTTTTTTTCTTTTCTAACATGACAATGGGAAAATTTTAAATAACATGTGTAGCTCACATTATACTTTTATTTGACAATGCTGGTCTAGAGCCACATCTATCAATAGTATACTTCTACTAGAATTCCTACAAATATCACAAATTTTGTATATCACAAACCTAACTCCTCTCTCCAACCCCTCATGCACAAGTACATGAATATTAAGCTTTCCTTGTATTCTATATCCCAATGAATGGTACCACCATCTACTGGACAAGCCATAATTGCATTTACATAATCTCTTCCCCTCCCTGTTGTATCCATATACGTGTCTAAAGGACTTATGATTATTGTACTATTTCCCTCGTCAGATTATAAGTTAATTAAACATAGGGGAATGTGTTTTTAACTATTTCTACATTGTATAGCAAGATGTTTAGTATATTGTAAATGCTGAATAAATATTTTGAATTAATAAATGAAAGGTAATATTTTTTCTCTCACTTTTTTGTAACAGCCTTATTCTGATCATGGAGTTCAAGCAACATATCACCAGGTTTATGCTCCAAGTGCCATCACTATACCTGCACCTGTGATGCAGCCTGAACCAATTAAAGTAAGAAGTTTGTTTTGACTTTTTACTTTGTTTTTCTTCTATTGTATTTCAAGTTTTCCAAGCTTCTCTTTTAGAAAGGAACAACTTTGGATATTTATGATGAGAAGTACAGAATTAGCAAACTCTTTCATGTGAAGGAAATATAATTCTAAATTAACTATAATGGTCAATTTTTTATGTATTATGCTAACATATATGCAACTTAAAATTTTCTATTTTAACCGTTCTTAAGTGTACAGTTCAATGGCATTAATTACATTCACAATGCTATGCAACCATCACCATTGTTTCCAAACATTTTCCTCATCCCAAGTTGAAACTCTGCACCCGTTAAGCAATAACTCCTCCTTTGTGCTTCCTCCCAACCCCTAGTCTCTGGTAACCTCTAATCTGCTTTCTGTCTGTATGAATTTGCCTATTCTAGATACTTAATATATAGTACTCTGATTTTTATTATCTATGTTGATGGCATGTGATATTTATGGGGAGGTGAAAACAATTAATGATCTCCTCTTCCAGTTTGGGAATCATGTTCATGCCTCCTTAGTCAGATTGAGGCCAAAGAATGATAATCTAGTTATATCCATGTATATAATCAACATATTTTAACTATCTACTATGTAGCAGGGAATTTTTCATATTCCCTTAGGACCAAGTTTCTTAGTGAAACTCTTTCATCATCCCTTTAAGTAAATGAACTTTGTCTGCAGTAAACAGCCACAGATTTATCAACTGCTGAGATGGTAATATGAATCCTGCATACAGTGTACTTTGGTGAGGAAGGTAGGCATAGTCTTTGCATTAAAATAATGGATGTTTTAGCTATTTCACACTCATTTTTATGTTCTGGCACATCCTATGTGTTGAACTCAATACCAAGACAGTCTTACTTTAAGAAGCCTCCCAGCCTTCTCATGTCCCTTCACCCCATCACCACTCACTGCCATTACCACTCACTGCCATTACCACTCACTGCATCCCTCCACTGCCTTTACCACTATACAGCAAATGTGAAATAAAACTGTAATTTTGACATAGTGTCAAAACCTCTATTACTTATAGAGGCTTCATTTTTAGTATTGTTAGAAAATCTTCTAAAACAGACTTCTTCTGACGTTAACATTTACTCCAAATATACTTATGCAGAAATCGCTGATATTGCTATGCCGTATTATATAAGTGATAGTTATTTTCAGTTACTGAGAGAGAGCTATAGCACAAGTGATGGAAATTGTATAATTTATACAATTATACAAATTGAATAATTTGAATAGAGGACGGAGTGGTGGGTGGTATTTGGATAGGAGAAATTTCCAAAGGATATTAATGTTAAACATTCTTAAAATTTAATTATTCTAGTTTTATATATTCTCTAAATTTTCTTAGGTCTGTGAGTAGATAACATCAGAAATTATACAGAGAAACTGGTATCTTACTCTTTAATATAGTCATATAAAGATTACCAATTCTTGCCAACTGTGGTGGTTCATACCTGTAATCCCAGCACTTTGGGAGGCCAAGGTAGGAGGATTGCTTGAAGCCAGAAGTTTGAGACCATAGTGAGACCCTGTCTCTACAAAATAAAATTCTTTTTAACTAGCTGGGCATGGTGGTGCACCCCTATAGTGCTAACTACTCAGGCGGCTGAGGCAGGAGCATCACTTGAGCCCAAAGATTCAAGGTTACAGTGAGCTATGATCACGCCATTGCGTTCTAGCCTAGGCAACAGAGTGAGACCATGTATATATCTAAAAAATTTTTTATATTTTTTGGCCGGGCGCGGTGGCTCACGCCTGTAATCCCAGCACTGTGGGAGGCCGAGGCGGGTGGATCACGAGGTCAAGAGATCAAGACCATCCTGGTCAACATGGTGAAACCCCGTCTCTACTAAAAATACAAAAAATCAGCTGGGCATGGTGGCGCGTGCCTGTAATCCCAGCTACTCAGGAGGCTGAGGCAGGAGAATTGCCTGAACCCAGGGGGCGGAGGTTGCGGTGAGCCGAGATCGCGCCATTGCACTCCAGCCTGGGTAACAAGAGCGAAACTCCGTCTCAAAAAAAAAAAAAAAAAAAAAAATTTTATATTTTTTAATCACTAATTCCTCTTTTGTTAGAGATGAAAAAAAATAATAATGGACTTCCAAAGTCAAAACTGAAACGCAAGACAATTATGTAGAATTTTGTGTTTCTTGTTTTTATTTTTTAAGGTTAAATGTTCTATGCATTTTATACTCAATATTTTTCTTTAGGTGATTTAGTGGCCCTGAATACAAATTAATGCCCCACTCAAAGACAGACACTCTCCAAAACCACTTCTGTAGTTTTCTAGTACTGTGTAACTGTAGAAATGCTTTAATATGCATGTATTACTGTGTGGCAAATTATCTATTTTTATTTATAGTACATTTGTATTATAACATGGAAATCTTAATATACAAATGTTGTTCTATATTACAAAACAATCTTTTTCTAGAACATATTACTAATATTAAAATATTAGTGAACAACATTTGAAACACTAGCCTTTTTTTACCTCCAATGCAAATTTTCTCTAGTACCAAAAATCTTGGTGATTTTTAAAATAGAAAAGTGGAAATATTCTTTGGAAGAGTTTGAATCTGTTGTTTTTATAAGCATAAGTCATTTCTAAAACTCTAACGATTACAACTTTGTGAATGTTAATCGAGAATATCCCAAAGTAGGAATTTCACATGTCAAAACTATCTGGAAGCAACAAATCTATTCAATGAAATAGAAATATTATACAGAGTTCAGAGCACAAGTCTAACTTCTGTGAGGTACTGTTTACCAGAAACTACTCATTGACTGTAAGCCATAGCCTACATACTCTGTCAAGTCAAATACAAAAATGAATAAATACAAAACAGACCAATATAAAGGTAACTAGATTAATATGATACTAATTAGGGCTATTATTCCCTAACTCAGCAGTAACATCTTACACAGAATCAAGTTTTAGGCCAGGTGTCGTAACTCACACCTGAACCCCAGCACTTTGGGAGGCCAAGGCAGGAAGATCACTTGAGCGAGGAGTTTGAGGCCAGCCTGGCAATATGGCAAGACATCTCTAATTTTAAAAAATAAAACAAGAGAATTAAGTTTTAAAGTCAACAAAACGAAGCCACATAATGTCAAAATTATTCCACCAACTAGGAAGGAACAAAAGGAAAATCTGTGTTTCTGGGTAGGTGAACTATTCTGTTTCTAAGATAAATATCAAATCCCAAGGTATGAAGGGTATGAGTGGAGAATTCTAAAGTGTTTTGTTTTCTTACAGTATTTTTACACTTTTGCATTAATATAAGTGTCTAATAAAACTTATATGGATTAAGTTCAATGTGTATTTTATTTAACTCTCATATCTACCAACAAGCCATGAAAACATGTGGATGTTAAGGATCATATTTAACCACTTGCCAGGCTATGAGGAATTTCTTCTAATTAAAGTGTTGATTGGACTTAAATGAAAAACACAACTAATGGTCTACAAAGTATGATTCAGAAGTAAATTGGAAAGGCATCTGAAGTGCTACCACTATCTACTTCTAGTTCAAAGACCCAAAGCATGTACTTACCTAAAAATTAGCAACTGTCTCTATTTTATAAAAAGCTTATGCTGCTTGTGTGTTTTTCCCAACCATTTCCTCATTTGAGTATCATTAATACTTCTTATAAATCAATGTAGAGACTAAAATTTTCTTGTATTCTGTAAAACCTAGGAAGGACAAGTATAAAGCAATATAATATAAAGGGAAGAGACAGGAAAAGCTGGTTCTTTGTAACTCTGAACATATAAGGAAGGTATAAATTTTCATATATGCTGTATATAGCCAAACAATAGCCTCAGATTCTCTAGAATAAATTTTTTACTCATAAAGAACTAAGCAGGAGGAGCAAAAAAATGCTTCCTTTTTGATGTAAATCTAAAAGCGAGGACATAGAACAGTTAGGAGAATCAAGTGTTCATGACACCAGTTATAATTGTCATGGGTAGATCCCCACTGAAGGATGAGTAAACAGAAAAATATATATTATATGAGTTCTGTGAAAAAAATTGAATATGGCACTAAATTGAAGGCAAGGATGAATAGTACAAATATGTATAAGAACATATGTATGAGAGGAAATTAAATGCAATTTTTAAAATATATCCCATATTCTCAATAATAGATCTTTAAAAAACAATTGAAAACTGAAAAATAGGAAAAATGAAATGGTTGCTGGCTACTGTAAGAAAATACTGCCCAAAAACTGTTTGACATGATGGAAAGAATCATATTTGCCTTTGTCATAAAAGACCAGTAGTCACAATAGAAAATGAAATCCTTGACAGAGAAAGATGTTTTTAATTCTTCCAGAATGTAAAAGAAAATAACATGAAAGATGAAATGATGAAATAAAATGCTAGATAGAGAGAGCAGAGAGACAGATCCAACCAAAACATAGTAATTCCCAAGAAAAGAATACAGAATAAATGGAACAAAAAGAACGTGCAGAAATTTTAACAGCAAAACAAAAACACTGTGACTCGAATTTACAAATCAAAACAGGATTCATCATGCTTCAAGCAAAATTAATGAGAGGCAATCCATGCATAGATATCCTAGCAATTATCTTTCCCCCATCATCCCACTCTACCAAACGTCCTTGGCCTTTTAACATTTTATTTTAAAATAATTTACACTTACAGAAAGGTTGTAAAAAAAAATACAGAGTTCATATATCTCTTCACTCAACTTCTGATTTTAACAGCTTATATAATCAAAACAATTAGTAAAACCAAGAAATTACCATTCATAAAGTACTATTAAGTAAACTACAGACCTATTAAGTAAACTACAAACTTCATCAACTTTTTCACTAATGTTCTTTTTCTGTTCTAGGATGTAATATTAAATCCTACATTAATTTGTCATGTCTCCTTATTCTCCATCAATCTGTGACATTTACATAGTCTTTTGTTGTCTTTCATGACCTTGA